GATTAGTGGATACGATACCGGTATTCCGATTAAGTTTTTCTAATCCGTGTAAGATTCATCATTATCATAAGGTCGTCAGTCCTAAGACTGGTTGGAGAGGCACCTCTACTCCTTCCTATCCTAAAACTAGAACACCCCACATCCTCAACTATTTACCTCTACCCTTCCTACTGTTCGTTTCAAGAAGTTAGAGATATGCCCCTTTCCTTTATTAGGATGTATAATAGTATAATTCCAAATTCAATCATGTTTGTCTGCGGAGCTCATTTCTTCACCGATCATCGAGCGAGAACTAGACAAAAGTACTGTACCATTTACAAAATTATTCAAACTGCCTCGTTACAATTTAAGAATATGCTTTATTTAAAAGCATATTTAGCCAAAAATAATAACAAGTGAATTTACTTAACGTTCTACACACCTATAAAACTTTTGCTTTGTTTTCTATTGTTAATTTATATACATTTTTGTTTTAAGNTATATATATATATATACGTACCTAACTATATATATATATATATATATATATTGTTTTAAGAAATTGCATTTTCGTCTAGTACTGTACAGTTCCAGCCGATCTCCTAAGACCGCCCATCGAGAGGTCTGCCGGTTCAAGTTGTTCCAACTGTTTCTGTCTTACTCACGCCTAGTGTGTATTCTTTCTATCTTCGCGCAGATTTCTTCAAGATCGCAATTCTAACAAATTGAAATAGACTGTAACTCCCATTTCTGTCTCTAATATGTCTTTGACTAGACCTTCTTGTCTGAGAAGGTGTCCTACCAACCTATCTCGCCTTTTTTTTTATTGATTTCCGTAGAGTCCTCTGATCTCCCATTCTTTCTAGTACTTCTTCATTTCTAACCTTTTCTATAAGATTATGTGAGGCTAAAACATCAGTGTCATTGCTTGCCATCATCAAACAGAAGAAGCTATATTTTAAACAAATATCACAATTTAATCCAGTGTGTTTTCTGCAAACAATAATAATGAAATAACCAACTAACAAAATGAGCATGCCTTGCCGCCTACCATTATAATGCAAGAAAGTTTATTGTGTTAATTTGCTGTACTTGTTTGGTATATTATTATTATCTTGGGTTTAGGCTTGTTCAGACCTCAAAAGCAGGGATACTCCTTTGGCTTTCCCTTTTTGCTACCTTCCCACTAGGAAAGGGTAGATGGTGGTTGGGGTGAGAATGATAAGATGGACGAAGTGAAGACAGAAGAGAGTGAATGATTATCTAAAGAATATTATTGCCGTAGAATTTGCCTAAATTAGGGTTTCCCTAAGCGAGCGTCTCTACATTATCCCAGAGATGTCGTGAGGCGATCCACATAAACTAGAAACATTGAGGGTTCTATTATCATTTACGACATAGTACTTGTGCCAATACTCTTAATATAAAATTTAAATGTTATTTGGAGTTTTTCCAATAACTTATTACTTAGGCTAGAACTACAATTGGTAGGTACTTTTTGGCCAGAGGAAGTGTCGCAAAAATAAAATGACAACTTCCCAAGGGCGTCTTAGTAAAAATAAGTTTAGGAAATCCTGCCCTAAATGATCCAAAAAAGTCACGGAAAAATTTGGACCAGACAGATCAAACCGGTGTCCTCCAGGGTGCTAAGTAATGGTCTAAATTTATAGGCTCTTCCGATCTCACAGCAACTGTTTATAGGGACTAGTCTTGCTACTCGCGCAATCTAGGCAACCTATTATAGGCCTCTTAGACCCTTCTTCACGTAAGGTGGGTTGCCTACACGTGACAGCAGCTACTTTTAATGAAAATTACAAAATTCTACAAGCAGAAAAGAAAAAGATCCCAGAATTGACTTAAGTTTATCCAAATTCAAAATCCCAGGATTGTAAATAAGGATTCGAGTTCATTAGGATCTTGCTGCGCTACTGACCGTGAATGACGATATGATAAACCGAAATGGTCATTTGTTTTTCCACCACTCGCATGTCCAGCGCCTGATTAACCGAAGGTCATTAACAAAAACGAATGGCGACTGTTTTTTGTCATGTTACCTTAAATATTTGCGGCTCTGCAGCCCATCTGCAGTTGTATCAGTAAATGCGGCGGTAGAATTACTCACTGCGTCCATGCAACTAGTTACAATAATTACATTCATATTTTATATACGGCCGTTTGTACCCTACAGAAGTGTCCACAATGAGAGTTAATTTGTGAATGTAAGTAAAGATTATTAGCAATTTATTATTTATTGTATGTTTGGTCGTTTTAATGATTTATTTATACAAGGGTGTGCCATTTTGGATGAAAAAGTAGGCGAAAATCAAAAATTAAATTACGAAAAAAAAATGTTTAAAAATGAATTTTGACAGGAAACATTAGAATATTAGTATTAGCGGAAGTGTAAATTATGCCAAATTTGTGCTTTCTTTTTCTTTTTTTTTCGTAGGTCATTTTATTGTTTCGTTAGAAAGATGAGAAGAGAAATAAGAAAGAGATATAGCTATACACCTACGATTACGTTTAAAATAATTAATATTCAGTTTCATATTGTAATTAAATTTATTTCATTGACCAATAAAGTGTATCACTATCACTATAGCAAGCATAATTAAGAAGTATTTGCTGAATAAGTGTAGCAATATTGTAATAGTTATTATTTTTGAATAGCTAAGCAAATGTTTCAGTGCAATGGAATAAAATGTCGTACATTATGCAAATATATAAAATGCATCGCAACCAATCTGAAAAGATTAATAGGAATATTCCAATACGGCTAGGAAATAAGAAAAATACCAGAATGACTAGGCGAACGCTTACAGGGAGAAACCTAAATTTTTATGACAACAATTTTCAGTTGTAAATGACTGAATTTGCCGTAGAAATAGTAGAACTTATTAGGTAACTTGTAATAATCTCAATTTTCACGTGTTTTGATGAAACTAAGAAGCTGAAACATTTACTAATGAAAATAAATTGATAAATCTTAAGAAAACTGGAAAAAATAAATACATATTATTAAGAATCTGTAGTCAAAACTTTAAAAGACGTGAACATATTGATCATTTGAGAAAGAAAACGACTCTTACAGATTCCACTTTTTAACATTTAATGGATGCATGACATATCACGCGTCTTCAACGTGTATATTGGTAGATTAGGTATTAGCTTATCATTAAGTTTTATTACAGACCCTTCTTATCATTACTCAAATATTTTGCAGCAAATATGTAATCAGCACATTTCCATTTTTAAATATTACGATCAGAATAAGTCAAGAATTGTTTTCTATTATGGGAAACAAACGTGGAACAGCGCGTACGTAAGGTTAATAGAATGTAAAAAAGGCACTGTGATTTAAGAGTGTATAATACAACAAAAATATCTAGAAAACAAATAAAAAGTGTTAAATTGTTTAAAATTAAAATAATTATTTACTTGTTAAACAGCCAAAGCACCGAAAGTTATACAACATAAAAATTAAACTAATTTGTATCTATCTATTTTATTACAAACAACCTAATAGATATAAGTAGCTAATAAAATCGTTCTACATAAATGATTAAAATGCTGCTTAATTAAGCGAATTAATAAAGAAAAAACAAAATTATGTAGTACATACGTTATATGATAAAATTTGTTTTTAAGAGAGGTTTCCGGGTTTTTTTGCTCATTTGAATCTTTATGGTGCGTATTAATTAAGTTAATAATATACTATTGACTTCTGATAGTATATTTTTAAATTAGAGGTTACTATAGTGTTGATTAAAATACATCCACACATATTGTAAGTTTTTTCCATACATTATTTATTATTAAAAAATCTTTTGTAATTAATTTTAAATAGTATTCCTAATTGCTGTGACGTAAATAGGGTAATGAGGCGGTGGGGGTAGTTTAACCCGAGATCATTTTAGTACTTCTTAGCACATGAACGGGGCGAAAATGAATTATTATCTATATTATTTTAATCCTTTAAATAAAAAATATAAACTTAGATGAAAATATTTTCCTAAACTTTTCTCAAGTCGTTCCTAAAGTAGAAGATACCCTTTCTATTTCTATTAGATAATGTTTTATGTATTTATTGGTGCCTTAAAGATGTTTGGGAGGTACAATCGGAGACAAGAGTACATAAAATTAGAAATTCGTGATTAATTAGGTTTTGCAGCATATCATGAGGTAAATAAATACTATCTATACTAAAAAAAAGTATACGGTTTGAGAGAAAATTTGGAATTTGACCAAAAACTTTGAATAAAATAAGAAATAACGAATAATATGGAAAATTTTTAACTGACTTTTGGCAGTGAATATGCCTTGATTTCAACTTCGAAACAAAAAAATATTTAGTTTCAATCTCTATTAATAATGAGCGTAAAACTTTTTAATATGTTTAAATAATAATTAAAACTTTAAAATTGCATTTATTTCAGACAATTATAAATATTATCATTATATTATCAAGTAAAAACGAGATTTTCAGCTAATTTTTCATTTTTTCCTCGATAACCATTTAGTGAATTTGAATAACCTTACGCTGAAGTGATTCTCCAGAGTTCAAGTTAGTTATTATAAAAATTTGAAATTTCTGGTAGCTTTTTTTCTGTTAATAAAATAAATTTAATCTGTTCGGTTAACGAATCTCTATGAAATGACGTGTAAAATTACAATTTTTTAAAATTTCAATAACATTTTAACGGTTTAGTGAATCGATTTGTAATTTTTACAGGAGTTTTAGAATTAAATGAGGAACGTTCTTCCAAATTTTTATTTGTCTCGTAGTATTTTGATATACCTCCCAAACATCCTTAATAATGCAATAGGACTTTATATTTGAATGTACATATGTTGTATATTTTGTTAATTATGAATGTTTATTACATGTTAAATATAACATTCGTTATCGTGAACAAATTAAAACTGTTGTTTTTTTTCGGTTCACACTATCGAGTACTGCTATTATTATCATTATTATTATTAAAACTTCATTCAATAAATTATTTTTCTTTTGTTTTCAGATAACTCCAGTATGTCAACTCTTCTGACTCCTTCAGAAATATTTAAGGTCCCAAGAACCCTATCAAAGATGACTTCCGGTTCGGATGAAAAACGCGACCGATTTGTTCGCAGTTCATCAATTGAAAAAATAATAAAATTCAACGCCTACATTTGTTCGCAAAACTACTTCATTCTCCCGGCCATCCTGGCGTGGCTCAAAACGTCTCAGTCAGTCCTTCACGCTAACCTGGAGAAAATCATCCTCTTCATAAAGTACTTAATTTTTAATTCGATGGCATATAGAATGCTGGAGTCCAAAGTAGAGCTCGTCGCGCCATCTGTTTTGTATATCATAAACGTATCGTTGCTTTGTTTTGCATACTACAGAGACGCCGTCAGGTTGGGTACAAGAAAGGTTGCCCAAGACGTTAAATATCGTCTTAATATTGCCGCTTTGTTTATGAAAAGTTATGTATTTATTGTTGCTGTATACTTTACCGTATTTGTAGTTTTCGTGCAGGCCGTCGTTTGCGCTGGCATAGTTTTGGGAGCGTTTGTGACAGGTGGTCCCACATTCCTATGCGTCTGTCTGTACGCAATGTTATATATTTATTTAAGAATTTTGATGGACTATTTGCAGAAAAGTGAGAAAAATGAACGATCCGAGAAGTGTGATATCCTAAGGCCAAAGAAAATATTAGCTAAACTAGATAGTAGTAAAACGTTAAGCTCAATGAATCTGTTGTAGATTAGACTTGCGATTAGTTCCTGTTTAGGGGACGTTTTTTTCTATAGGGTATGTTACATTCGTAATTAGCTCGAATATATGACTGCTAGATGTAGAATTTATTGATCTTTTAATTGTAAGTTTTTGTACAAATAAGTTGAAATAAAATATTTTGATATTATATCACACCATTTTATTTCTTTTGTTTTTCAATAATAAAAAAAATAAACAAAATAAACGACCTATATTTATTGTCTCAATGTGGGTTTCAGTGAGTGAATTAAATATTGAAATTAGTTGCTATGAAACTTGCTGCTGTTTATTATAAACTATACATGTATGACTCTTCCAACCCTTAAATGTGATCTCTACATCCTTAAGTGTTTTTAATATCCTTTAACATTCAATATCGCCGAAAGCTTTCTCTATATCTACGAATCCTATATATTACACGCTATTTCTTTTTTCTATCGTTTAATTTACGTTTCTATTTAGATTAAATTTAATCAAAACTTCATTCAGGTTTACATTTTGCGTAAACACGGTTTTGTATTAAAATGTTTAGAAAAAATGCAATAAATTCAGACCAAATTGAAGCATCGCATCAAATAGATTATGTGAAGGAAGGTAACAAATATAAACCCAAAATGTCACGCCTTCTGGCGTTTTGTGGGTCAGATATGCATCACGTGCATTATTTTTGGCTAAAACACGAATTAATTACTTGTTTTTTAAAAATGTAACCAATATTTGCAAACACATCGAATAAATTATGAGAGGGAGAACGTAGATGGGGTTATTTAAAGATATAAATTTCCCGCCTATATCATTGGTTGCCTAACAACAAATTTTCCGATTTTGCAGGAAAAATATGTAGGCAACCAAATGAACATCAGCGCTACTCCGGTTGTCGAGTATTACCTGCAAAAGAAATTTCTCAACGAAAGCTTTTCAGTTGTAATTAATCCTGCCGCATCACCTAATTATTAAAGGACAAAAGTTTCGAGGAATAATTTTTTGTCGTAACTATAATTTATATTGTAAGTAGAAATGGCGTCATTTTAAAATAGAAGAGTAGATATGTAATGAAAATTTTCAAATTGATTGCAGGATTGAGAACCGCGGCGCGAATGAAAATTGTGTCAGTTCCTGCGACGAAAGTTGGTGCGCGCGCACCAGTGAAAAGGGGTGTATTTTTAACTCAAAACGGAGCAAGACAGTAAGCTATGGTTACTACACCAGCATTTGTTTTAAAATATACGAAATATCAAGTTTGCTGTGATAAGTCGATATAAATGGTATTTTTTCGTGCGCGAAAGTGGAACCATGTACCATGATGGTGTGAGTGCGGGGAGATTTCGTAAGCAGCTTTGCGTTTAACGAAACAATAAATAAAACAAATAAATATTTAAAATAACAGCTAGTACATAATTAGTAATAAATAATAATACGAAAAGAATAAATCCTGCAATTTTGAAGTTATTAAAAAAGAAAAAATAAAAGTTGACAATGCCTTAACATGCCTTATTTTGCATTTGTACCCTTAGCGTAGGAAATAAACATGCGCCAAACTATAAGGTTGAAGCCCTATAGGTAGAGAGTATTCCAGTAAACGATTCTAGTTTCTACGGGAAAATACGACAACGTAAAGCGGATATAAAATTCAATTTCGCGACACACACACGTAATATATTTATAGCTTTAATAAATAACAAACGAACCAAAAATCAAAGGAGTTTACATTTTTCATTAATACGTAAGTAAACCCTTAATATTATTACAACAAATTATTATTAACCGAATCCAAAAATATCGCAGGTTTCCTTTTTAATTAAAGGATCGCCGATAAGTAACAATAAATCAAACATTTAATAAAACAATAATAACCTATTTTGTTTCAAACAGTTTTGGTGTCGTTTTTTATTTTAATTAATTAAAATATTTCTCCGCCGGGTATTACAATAATAACTACACACGTATGTATATTTATTAACAAATTAAGTGCAAACAACGACAAAAAAATTAACTTAGTGCAAAAAGGTCCCACGTACGTACGTTAAAATATTTATCGATATTACTAATTGACTAATTTCCTCTTCGAAACGCGATTAAAAGATAAATAAAAGTGCACAGACTATTCACCTGTACAACCGACTGACGCTTTTCACGTTATTATTTATAATACGAGTTCTATTCGGAAAATAACAGTGCAATGAGTGTAAGAGATACTTCTATGTAATTTCGTCCTGTAAAGTGATTATGCCCGTGAGAAGAGGACACGTCGCACCACGGACTACTTTGATCGAGACAATCATAAGGAAGTTTGACACTGACAGTAAGTCGTATTAATTTTGTTTTGCTTTTAAAGGTGACGCTAATCTTTGTAAACATTTTAATACATAGAAGGCAACAGGGGGTACTTCAATCCTTTTTAATTATCATCATATGTATTAAAATGTGAACGTCGAAACTAGTGGTACAGTTTTTCTGTTAAATATATGAAATCCTATGACATTGTTAGTTACCTGAGAGTGGATTAATATGCAATATTAATTTGAAATCATTTTTTCAGATTTTTTATTTACCCACTACACGCTACCTCAAATTAATGAGGGAAAAATTGTTGGTGATGTCACACCCCCACCGGGAATCGAACCTAGGACCTTTGGATTTACGCACCAATGTTCTAACAATGTCATAGGATTTCATATATTTAATATAAGTTAATAAAAATCGACGGATCGTTAACCTTGTAGGTCGGTTGGTCGTGGTTGTTGTTGTCACCTCTCGTAGTTTAGTGATAGAACATTGGTGTGTAACGCCAAAGGTCCCGGGTTCGATTCTCGGCGAGGGTATGACAACAGCAACAATTTTTTTTCTCTCATTAATTTGAGGTAGTTTGTAGTGGGTAAATAAAACATCGAAAAAATTATTTCAAATTAGGTTTAACTGCGGCTTCGTTTGCGTTAATGTCTTAAATATGAGTCAAAAATCACATAAAACACTAATTTTTCTATCCCTCGGAAACACTATTTTTTTCTGGATAACAGGTACCCTATGTTCTTTTCTGTACCCCTGACAATGCGTGTAGAATGTTTTTTGATGATCGGTTGATAGGTTATGGCGTGAAATCGTAGCAAATAAACCAATTCATAAAAGGTAATAAAAATAGTACATCATCTGGGAACAGATTCCGTACTAACCGAACTTCCGAACACATTCGTATTCCCTATCGTAACAATTCTCTGCTTATAATTGTATTAATTAGAGAAGTCACTTAAGATAATGGAGACGTAAGTCAAAACCATTTTTTTATTCCTGGAGAGTTTAACTATTTTCCGGGTTGTAGCAGATATTGGTATAAAATTATTTCAATAAATAATTACATTTATAATCCCTTTGTAATACAGCCTTTAAGAAGTCCTGTTTAATCCCTTTCCAATTGTAACCAAACTTAATAATTATGACATCAAGCTGATATAATCATGGAATTGAATTATTTAAAATAACTTCTCGTTCTCTTTGAAATTGAGTAACATTTCGCTAGTAGGTAGGATAAAATGACGTCATCGTGCAGCAGTGAATTATATATAATCCTCTGACGTCCAACAAATCTTCTTATAATATGTAAATTCGCTACGCGGAGACAAATTTTTAATCTAGATGTCATTTCTGTTACCAACTGTAAACTGTTCTTATTACCGGTATTCTTCATACAGACGATAACTTATTGGAAATATATTCTAACACAGGGTAATTACAAAACAGATAAAAGTAAAACAGAAAGATTGGTATGCAAGAGAAGAAAAGGTAAAGCAAGGGCGAATATAAAGATAGGAGACGAAAAATTAGAAGAAATTTTGGTATCTAGGAAGTCATATAACTCAGGATGGAAGGAGCAGTAGAGAATGGGGTAGAGTCGAGTCATCTTCAATGAAAACAGGTTGTAGGATCGGTTAATCTAGAAATTCGAGAAAGATTGTGGAAATTGTGGAAGGTGGACGTAGAGGAAAAGAAAAGGTTAAAAGCGTTTGAAATGTGGTGTTACAGGCGAATGATGAGGATAGGATACCGCGGATAGAGGTTAGAAATTAAGTTGAATTAGAAAAAATAGGAGAACAGATCTATGAAAGTCAATAAAAAATTGGTGAGGTAGGTTATTGGTAGGACACCTTCTCAGGCATGAAGGTCAAGTCAGAGACATATTAGAGGCAGAAACGGAAGTTAGGAGGGGTAGAGGTAGACCTACATTAGATTACTGTACACAAATAGTTGAGGATGTGGGATGTTCTGGTTTTAGGGAAATTCTCAAATCTATTAGCTCAGGGTAGGAAAACGTGAAGATGCATGTCCAAGCTGCCTTAGGACGACCTTATTATGAAGATGATGAATAGTCAGAAATGAATAGGACTCACTAGTCATTGAAAATTCTGTTGATTCTTAACTTGATAATAACTTAATATAGGCAAATTTGGGATGTTCCATTTTATATAACTTTGACGATCATCTAATTTATAAATAATTTTTGTAATGGCCTCCGCACATTTGAAGTTGTTCATTTATGCACCCCTGACACTCTATACGTTTATGGCACTTTATGCAAAGTCATTTGTTGTCAGTTTTTACTAGATACATGATATTGTATCTTTCTTATGTCTTATCCATCGTTTGTAAAATGCATTATTTGCTGCTTACGTCCAATAATAAGACGTAAGCATTAGCGGTGTGAAGCAACCATATATTTCAAACACACAGATATTATTAAATGGATGTATCTTAGCGTGTGCATTTCGGAATCCTTAAAAGTGTAAATGTCGTTGAATACTGCAACATATTCTGCTGCATTTTCCTTCATTCTGAAGGTGTAAAAAATTAGGTCAGCTCAAATAAGCATAAGACCTTAAGAAGACAAGATGTTCTTCATTTCTGAAGAAGTTATTTTTCCAGACATACGAAGAGTATATTCAATTTTAAGAATTCCACTTGTTAGGTTGTAAAGAAAATTATTGTGGATATTGAATTTGATTTTACATGCTAAATCTTTAAGGAAATTTAGACTGGGTTACTATAAAATCATATGTTACTTCAAAGAATTAAGGATATATGTAGCATTTTATTGAAAGGGGTGGGGGGCAAGGTTCACTAATACACAGTGGAATTCGTTTATTATGACTTCGCCTATATTGACCAACCGCTTAATATGAAGTAATTGCAGTCTTAGGTTTGATTTTCATATTAAATTCTCTGTAGGAAAGTTTGGATATAATGACTCCGTTTAAAATGACATACCCTTTATTATGTCGCTTGGCTACTAAATCAGGATTCTACAACTTGCCCGGAATTATGAAATAATCGTTTTAAGGATGCTTATAACAAAAGCATACGTAAGAAATAATGCTCCTATCAGAGGAAAGGGATCGAAAATTATCAACAGTTTTTTGAGAGTTAGTTTATAACATTTTACTAGTTTCATTATTTGCAGTTAGAGGAGTTTTTTCTTAAAAAAAAAAAATAATTTCTATTTTATTGTAAACTTTTCTTCGTATGTATTATACTTTTCGAAAAGACAGGAGAAACTGAATTTTGGAGTGGTTTTAGTAAATCTTTTAACCCTTTCTGACATCATTACAGTGGAATGACTCCGCCTATATTGACCAACCGCTTAATATGAAGTAATTGCAGTGTTAGGTTTGGTTTTCATATTAAATTCCCTATAGGAAAGTTTGGATATAATGACTCCGTCTAAAATGGCATATAGTTTATTATGACTGATTCTCAAGAAATCATATCCGGCTATAGTGACCCAAATGATTAATAATAACACTTTCGCTCATTTTTCTGACCCTTGTTATATATATTGATATTACAATTCATCGTTCTTTCTCTTTTTCTGTTAATAAATATATACAATTTGCAGTTTTTCTCTCTATTAAACTAAATAACTAACCAAAATAGAAAGTTGTTTATTTTCTAAGACTATGCTTTGTATGACGCACGCTTAGTATGACGTGTTTGTCATTTTCCTTCGATGTCATCATAAGCGGATTCTACTGTAGTTGAATTTTACAATTCATATTTTTTAGTCAATATTTATACTTAGATAGATACAAAAAAAATATACACTTGATGAAAAATAAAGAAAATCTACTTTGATAGGATGAAACATTAGTTAAGTTTCCCTGAAAATTAAAACTTTTGTAATACATAATACAGATCTGAATTTACACCATTTTTCAGAGTGCGTGATTTTTGATGGTTTTAAAACATGGTTAAAAATTTTCGTTTTTGATTAAATCTTTATTTTTTCAGTTCAATTTCTTTCTTTATTTTCTTAGTAAGTGCTTTTTACAATCAGAATTTTGTTCAGATTTAATTTCTGATATAATTTCAAGGTGTAACATCAAACATGGTAAAAGCAAAATCGGGACAAAGTTTTCCTCTGTTCAGACTGGTCCAACAACGATTATAAAATGTACCAGGCAGTAATGGATAAAAAAATTTGTTGGAAGTTTTGAAATTTACTATTTCAATGATAAAGACTGTACACTGTACATAGTAGTTGATCATAAGCGGTTAATAAAATACATTCTACTAAAGGTGTTACTTGTGAACTGAGAGCATGAAACAGAACTTGACAAATTACTACTTCGAGGTATGCACGAAAAACCACCAAAACCGATGCCTGTGGAAGTTACTAGAGTGCTTTAGTCTTCAGTTGCTTTGATCAATCGTTCTTTGACTTTACAAAGCCCAAGCTTCATTAAAAAAGAGGTCATGGTGATTCTACGATCTAAGCCCAAATAATACTGTTATTGTTGATATCGCAGAGCAAGGAAGTTCTTAATCGGTATTATTTCGATATCAGCCTGTTACTGGTTAATATATGTATGTACTGTACAAAAGGTGTAGTAAATATAAGTGACAAATTATCAATAATTATTATTACATAACTTGGTACAGGTAGTTCAGAATGTCATGGAGCTTGAGCTTTGATTGTGCAGTGGAAAAAACTTCGCCTGTTTATTGATTTGTATATTTCTACTTCATAAAAACATTAGACGTCACTGTCTACTAGTAAAGACTTATGAGATTTCGAACTAATTCTACATACTGATAAGCAGTTTTATAAAATTACAAGCTTTCATCCGCGGCTTCGTTCGTGTCCTAAATACCAGCCAAAGATCATCGAAAATAAAATGATTTGATAAACCTTTTCTTAAGTCATGTCCAGAATCATCAGGATAAAGCTAAAGACCAAGCGTAAGACTTATTAGTAAGATTCTCGCAAAAATCTCATCTAAATTGCATTACAATAACAAAATAGAATAAAATAAG